CTATCGATTCCACTTTTTTCTAGCTTATCAAGAAGTAGCTTGCCAAGTCTTCTTCTGCCTGGGACTTGGTTGCCTTCAATTTTTCCCTGGAAGGTTAAGTGAAGTATGCCATATTTTCCCGAGTGTCATATCACATGTCTGAAATATTCTAACTTTCACTTTTTAATGGTTTTGATTACTTCCCTTGGCTTTATCACCTCCTCATTTCTGATTTTGTCAACCAGTACTTTGATATAGATTGCATAAATATCTTTTGGTTGCTACAAATTATGAAAAATGAGTAATATATTGAAAGTTTAAAGGAATAAAGGAATGTAGAATACCCAAAAATTGTTCAGTGGAAAGTTAATAACATGTTCAGACTTCAAGATTTAATTATCAATATGATAAAGACTCTTATTTCAAATGATCAAATCTATCTGACTAGTTTCAGTACTTTAAAATAAGTGGCATGGGTCTATAAGAATAACAGAAATGGGAAATTCTGAGACACTTGACTGAATTGGAAAATCTTATGATATGTCGTTCAGACCATCTACCTAGTCTTATTTATTAACTGGTAAGATATTATTAAGCAGATGAAGTGTGATTCAGCACCTCAACAAGTAAAAAAATCATGTAATTAAATGGATGCAGAATTTGAATTCAGTAAAAGAGATGCAACAGTTTTCAATATTAATATTAAATATTAAATTGCTCTGAATATAATATCTAAAGAAATTTGGTGTAAGGTATTTTATCATTAGTATATTACTCCAACTTTGAATGGGAGTATATTAAAAATTACATTACAAATGTAATGAGTGGATCACATCTTTTTTCGCATTTCGTAGCAATGTTGTAAAGGTCAACAATTTTGAAGAATGATCTATAATAGAATGAAACAAAATTTAAAACTTGAATTACCATTTCAAACTATGGTATTTTAATTAAACCATATGTCCCTTCAAAGTATACTGAATTAGCTTTTTATATGTTAACTGCTACAAAGTTATATAAGTTTCTTATTGAAAAGGTTGCTCCATTCCCTCCTTAAAAAAATAGTAAACAAATTGTATGATTGTACTTTGTTATCCAAAATAACATCATACCATAAAAATAAATCTGATATAGAATTCAGTTTAAACTGGAAACTATTCCTAAACTAGAATTTAATACATGGATTTGTACTACATATTTGAGTTTTATATATATGGAATTTATATTCTAATCATGGGATGATTACATTGGAATAAATTCTCAGTATCAATTCCATTTATTATAGTTTACAATTCTAGTGGGTGATTTTGCTTACTACGGTTCCCAATAGGTATTCTCAGTTCAAATTCTAATAATTCTTAATCTACTAAAATGATATGATATATCTAATTATTCATAAGTAATTAATGATATATTGGAAAATTGTAACCTCCATGACATTTCTGGATCCCTTGTTTACTCATCTGTATTTTACGTGTTTTATTTATATTTGATTTCTGTTTGTTTAGGTTCACTTTCTGGGCCAGCTGCCAATTGTGGGCAGTTTTCAGAAATACTAGGCTGCAATAATCAACCTTGATGTAACACACATGTATTACTGTAAGCCACCTGTACCCTGGTTGGTTTCAAGTAGTCAGATACATTTCATAAATAAATAAATCTGGCAACATGTTTCTCCCAACTCCAGGTACAAACACTCCTTTGCCACAGATATTATTTGGCTCTTCATCATCAGTGCTGGATTCAGGAAGACTTTCATAATACATTCTTTAAGTAAAGGGAAGTGTAGCCTAATGCAAAAATAGAGGAATTACCCAGTTTTTCAAGTCCAGTCCCAGGAATTAGCAACACTTTACCCAGGGGTGGGCTGCTGGGGGCTTGGGAGATCCTCTAGCTAAGATTCTCCACAGTTCAGAGAACCCCAAATCCCACTCCTGGCTGCCCCCCCACCCCCCTGCCCCTCCTAGGAGTTGTCACAAGGCCCATTTTGGATGCAGGTAAATGCATCCGCAGAGGCTCAGGGAGGGCAAAAAATGAACCTCCCAGAAGTTCAGGAAGGCCAGAAATGGGTCCATTTCTGGCTTCCAGAGAGCCTCTGGAGCTGGGGAGGGCAAAAACATACAACCCCACCATGGTGTAGGAGGCCAACTAGGCCACGCCCACCATGGCCATGTCCACCCAGCAACTGGGCAGAGAGTCCATTGTTAAATTTTTTGAAGCCCCCCCCCCCGCTTCCATCTTGTTAGATTTTAATTCAACCTGTTCTCCTATAACCAGTCCCTTGCAGTCTGGAGATCTGAGGAATATTTCAAGATCCAATTGTAAATTTGATATTAGCATGCTCTATTTCATTGTACTGCTCGCTAATGAATTTACATTATGATGTGAAGGTCTTGGTTCTTATTTTAATAATGATTGCTTTTGACCCAAAAGTCAGACTCTTCTTCATTTATACTATGGCCCAAAGCAGCAACTTAATATAAATAGTTTTGTTGAAAGGGACTCCAAAGGATATTCACATTTTGAAATAATAGTATGGTGAGTACTGTTAGGGATAACATTGTTTACCCTAACTGGTTTGGGTAAAAATAATAAATAAGTTATAATGGTTTGTTGGTTAAAGTGTGTGTAACTTTAACTACAAGAATGTAA